CCGGGTAGAAAGCCATTTCTACCCGGAAAAGCTCACCGGAAGCGCTGGCGCCGCCATCTTTTTTTGATGAAAAAGTGCTTCCGGTGAGGTCACCGGAAGCACTTTTTCATCAAAAAAAGATGGCGGCGCCCAGCTGATGCCTGTACCGGGCCGCAGCGCCCAGCTGATGCCGGTACCGGGCCGCGGCGTAAAAAAGGTTGGGGATCACTGCTTTAGGAGACTGAGAGGAATAATTTTGGGATTGACCAAATTTTATTAATAATTGACTTTTTGGGAGTTTTTAGATATTGGGATACTGGAATATTAGAGGTATATTAATTTGGTACAAAATGATCCAGTAGGAGACAATAAAGTTCTATGAAGTAATGTTAGAAATGGTGACAAAGAATTGTAAGAAGATGATGGGAATATTTAAAGATAACGATGTGAAAGTAGAAGGCCCTCAACAAATGGCGGGAAAAGATGAATATGATACCCAGAAGACAGATGAGAAATTAGAAGGAGTGGTAGAGGAGACAAAGCAAAATAAACTACAAGAAGATAAAAATAAATTACAAGCAGATAAAAACACTGAAAAGACAGTAATAATAAATACTAAAGATCAAATAGATAGTCTCTTAAGAGCTTACAACAGAATCGAAGGAAAAAAGGAAGATTTTCCAAAGATAATGAAAGGGATATGGATGGATATTCAAAAGATACAGCAGAAGAAGATAAAGGGTAAGGCAGAGGGAACAATTAGTCTGTGTAAAAATGCTAGAAAGTCATATAGGATTCCAAGAGAGAAAGATAAAAGAATCACCAAAAAATAAATAAATGATGAAATTTTAAAAAGGCTGAGAAATGATGGATAGATACCTTGCAATATACATAATACCTTGCAATATAGTAATTATATTAAAAAAAGAAATAAGGGGAAAGTTTAAATTGGGAAAATAGTAGCACATATATAGATATATAATAGAATTTATTATAACTATAAATATATTAAGATTAGGAGGTGGAAGACTATGACTAGGTATATCTAAATGTATTATTATGATTAACAGGGTGCAAAAAACATACCGGAATATACAGTTTTCAAAGACTATAAATTCAAGGGACTGAGAGATATAATCTTGGGACTGATTAAATCTTATTAACAATTGATTTTATTGGTGTTTATAGAAAATTGAGATGTTGAAAATGTGGTGGAATACTGAGTGATATTTAAAATATTAAGACATTAATGACTTAACAGGAGTTAATAAATATATTATATGAAGAAATGCTGTTGATGTTTACATATATTTTTGGAGAAAATGATAAAAAAATCATAAAGAAAGAATAGTATTGTTTAAAGATAATGAGGCGAAAATAGAAGAACCCCAACAAATGGGAAAAATAAAGAAATAAGTATAAATTGGGAAAATAGTACAATATATATTGATACATAAAAGAATATATAATTATAATGATCATATCAAGGTTAGAAGTTGGAAGATAAAAACTCTGTGTATGCAATTGTATGTTTACTGTTAGCATTGTGTGAAAAGTATATTGACCCAATCATTACACTGATCACAAAAATTGTTGGTTGTTAAAGAAAAAGTTCAAATTAAACATTTAACAAAAAAAGCTTCAGATTTAATATCAAAGTTTATTTCCAAGTGTTTTTGAATTTGGGGATGTTCAATTTCATGTCATTAATATATTTTTCTCATACATAGAAAGCTTAATATGAATATACAGTATATACACAAACTTTATTTTCAGTACTACATATAATCCATTTTTTCACTTCAGCTCTTTTTGTTCACATATAAAAGAAACATATTAAATATATTATTTAGATTATAAATTAGCAGCTAATCTCTCATTTGAAGCAATAAAATAGGAGTATGCAACTAAACAAATATAATGGCTTAGCCAATGTATACGTTTTATTTCTCCTCATACTTCTTGCAACTCTATCCTTTTAGTCAAATTTTAGAATCTCAAAATCATCTCTTTTTGGATGAATGAAAGGTGTTCTGTGGACCAGATTCTGAGAATGGCTGTATTGGACTACAGATACATAATATACTTCATTACTGTCTCCTATTAGACTTTACTAAAAATCTGAAAATTTTAAGAAATGCAAAGCTGTTCATGCTATATTTTGGGGTCATTTCACACATTACAAACAAGAAAATCTAGTGGCATAAACATAACAATAGATATATCATCTAATAAATGTTTAGATGACAAACGACATCATAGAGACTGCATATCCTCTTACCATGTAGTTGCCACCATGTCTGGATTTAAGCATACCAATTACATCTTGGAAGTTGTTTAGATAAATTTCCTCTGAGCAGTTTCCTGGGAATGATACTGCAATGATTCTTTCAGTAACGTAAGTGAGGTCCAGTTCATAATTTTCCTCCATAATACAGTCAAAATTTGTACTTCTGTGGTGAACAACATAGAACAAGACCACTTTAGAGAATTGCAAGTGGGCATACAATGTTATATAGAAAGTAAGCTAGGACACTTAGAATATAGCTTGTGAAGAAAAAAATTTTAAGGAGAACTGAAAATATGACAAATATGTATAAAAAATATTGATATAAATACTTTAAACAAAAGCATTTTAAGTAAGAGACAAATATTTAAATAGTTCTTACTGATAATGGGGGGAATAACAGAATAACAGAGTTGGAATTTGGATGACTCCTAGTCCAACCCCCTACTCAAGCAGTAGATCTTAAACCACTCCAACCAGTGGCTGTCCAGTCTCTTCTTAAAAGCCTCCAGTGATGAAGCACCCACAACTTCTGAATGCAAGCAGTTTCATTGGTTGTTAGTATTTCCTTAATTCTAAGTTGCTTTTCTCCTTTGTTATTTTCCATCCATTATGTCTTGCCTTACCTTCTGGAACTTTGGAAAATAGATTGACCCCCCCTTCTTTGTGGCAGCCCCTCAAATATTGGAACATTGCTATCATGTCACCCCTAGTCTTTCTTTTTATTAAACTAGATATATCCTGCAACCATTCATCACATTTTAGCCTCTAGCCTTCTAATCGTCTTTGTTGTTCTTTTCTTATCTCTTTCTAGAGTCTCAATATCTTCTTTTATAATATGGTGACCAAAACTGGATGCAATATATTCTAAGTGTGGTCTTACTAAGGATTTATAAAGTGATGCTAATACAAGTGAGAACACTTTATGGTGACACAGAATGGTTCAGAATCAGTAAGGGGAATGTAATTTATCAGCTTTTTTGTTCAAACTGTATGTGAAATGCATATGCAGAAATTAGTTCTGGATCTGCCTGATGTTGGAATAAATATTGGGGCAAGAACCATAAATAATTTGAGATATGCAGATGATACAAATTATTGGCTGAAAATAAGGAAGACCTAGAAAAAAACGATCTGGATTAACAAGGTTGAAAGTAAAAAAGTAGGATTGGGTCTTAACATCAGGAAAACAAAGATAATGACAATGGTCAGTGGAACAAGAAGAAGGTGCAAGCAAAAAAGAATAATGGCTTGATAATATCAAATCTGATACAAAGTTGAACATCCCACAACTGAAAGAAGTTGTACTTGTCAGGGTACTGTGGAGAGCAGTTGCCCATAATGTCAGACATGACCAAATGGTTAAAACAACAATAAAAAATAAAATTAAGTTATATGAATTATGAAGTTACATGAATTACATTTATTGTAAACATATTTAATCCCCTGCCCCTTATCTCTAGAGTTCAATAGCTGCCAAACAGTTTTGTCAGTTCTTAGAGGACATATCACAGCAGAAACTATTTAGTATATGAAATTGTAATTTAGGCTACAGAATTATACTGTAGAATGTTATCGTAGCTTAGTATCATGTTCACTAACAAATGTTCAAGTGTTGTCAAATATGTACTTAAACTTTTTCTCTCTGGCATTATAAATAAGAGAGAAGCATTCAGAAAGGACTTACTTAGATATTTTGTCACAATGGAGAGATGAATTTCTTAAAAAACTGCTGGAACCCTAGAAATAAAAATAAGCAAAATATGAATTATTTTTCTGTCACAAAAAATCCTATGCAATTTATTTGCATAACTTTTAAATATAATTTCCACTGCTTTGAACAAATCAATGTTCAAAGCTATTAATGTTTGACAGCAATTGAAACTGTATTTAGTAGTTTTTTAAAGTATTTCAGCCTCAATAATGCATGGAGCAAAATTAATCTAACAATAGAATTATTTTCAACAAAACTCAGAAGAGATAATAGCTTGCTCTTTAAAATTACTTCAAGCAAAACAGCTATATTAATTTATTTTAAAGATTAGCACAGTATTACCCTTTTGATAAGCAAATTTACCTAGATTTCATCAAAATCATAGTTTGTCTCTATAGACAGAATGTTTAATTAATATGGCTATGCAACACATACCATTTTGGGAATGGAATGTTTAATTCACAAAACAGCATATTTTCAACATTACTGCAGCTTAGTATACAGTACGTCCTGCTGAAAGTGTGTTGAATTTGTGATTTGGGGTGGGGGATGTTAGGATTCAGGAATTATTTTGAGGGATAATTGGTTCTACTGTAATACTGTATATTGTTCTCTGTAGCAGCACCTGTCCTTTGGAAAGAAAATCCTCCTGAGATCCGAACAGCTCTCATGAAGTATTTATCATGTTTACCAGTCAATTATAATTTCAGTTTTAATTAATGGATTAATGTAGAAAAATACTCCATTAGTCTTTTCTGAGTCCATTGATGTGAGTCTAGGAGGGTGGTCGCCAACCAGTAGGCCAAGGCCCACTGGTGATTCACAAGAAAATTTTGGTGGTCCGCAGAGAAATGTCACCCCCAGAGCACCCCCACAAAGCAATTAATCCAGGCTGCAGGAGAACACAAGGCTGCACCACCCACATGGTCCGCGGGAACCCTCCCTGCCCACTCACTCCTTACCTGGCAAACTTGCCTGCTAAGTTGCTATTTTGCCTTTGTTTTTTTTTTAATAGACTATCAGCTATTCTGCTGTGCCGGTAGATTTAAATTAGCTAGAAAGCAGGAAATCATTGGATTTCTTGCTTTCTAGCTAATCTTTATATCTTCGACTCTGCTTTTAAGCAGAACCGAACCTTCCTTAGCACTGAAGGTTCTATTATTCAGTTGCAGACTCAGATAGCTGATGGCAGAAACACAGATCTCTAAGTGAAACTATGATTCTGTGAGCAACTCAATCTGCTTGTCTGCTTTGCCTAATTTTGAATAAAAGTTGCTTTTTTTTAATAAAAAATATAATATTTACATACATGGTGTGTTGTGAGTTAATTTTGTGAGTTTTCTTGCTAGCAAATTTTATGGGTTTGCTTGCAAGCAAATTTTATGGGTTTGCTTGCAAGCAAATTTTATGTGACAGACTCAGGTAGCCAATGGCAGAAAGATAGATCTCTGAATCTGTGATTCTGTGAGCAACTCAATCTGTCTGCCTGCTTTGCCTGATTTTGGGTAAAAGTTACTATTTTTTTATAAAAATTTCAATATTTACATAAATATTTATAATATTTACATATAAGCCATGCCCAGCTAGTCACATGACTACCAAGCCACACCCACAAATTAGGCCACACCCAAGAAGCAGTTAAGAAATTTGTATCCCACCCCTGCCTCTGTATGTTTGTGTGTGTGTATGAGAGAGAGAGAGAGAGAGAGAGAGATTTGATCAGATCTCTCTCTCTCACACACACACCAACGTCAGCAAGCCACCATCAGTCAAAATTCATATTAGTGGTCCCCGGGATTTAAAATTATGAGTTTGGTGGTCCCTGTGTCCAAAAGGTTGGCGACCCCTGGTCTAGGACAACTCTCTACCACAACCTTGCCACCGCCATCTCGTGCCACCACCTCATTGCCACCACCTTGCTGTGGGACATCTCACCCTGGCCAACCCACCCTGGCAAACTTATCATGATGGGCCTTCCACTCCCCCTTAGCCCACCTGTTGTAGTGGAAAGCAAGGAGAGGAGGTCTTTATAGAAAGAATGTGGGCTGGTGGGAACTTTTGCCTCCCTTCAGCCAGGCCAGCTTTGGAAACTAGAGTGGAAGGCCCATGTGTCCATGGAAAATTGGCTGGAACTAGTGGCCAAAGATGAGGTGGCCATGGTAAGGTGTCCCATTCCATGCTGATGTAAAGTCTTCACCCAGAGTGTTACAGATCAGATACTTCACTTCATTTTTTAAAATATGAGTTTCTTGTAAACTAATTATAACTTGTTTCAATTTTCTCGAACAGTGAAAAGTATTTTTAGGAGCATTTACTCCATTTATATTGTATGTTAAACTTTAAAATTCTAAAGAAAAGTTTATTGAAGTAGTGAGCTGTATGTATCTCCCAATGTAAAGTTTTCTTTCTCGGTATCTTTCGTCAGTTGTAATCTTGTGAAATTTTGTCAGCAATCTCCATAGAAGTTTAGTCCAATTCCTCCTTAAGCCCTTTGGTTTTTTAAAAAACTATTCAGTCTTATCAGCTTTTTCCCTCAAAGTCTTCAATTTAACTTGTAAACATTATATTAGTATTTGACCTGAATCAAGTATCATCTGAAGCAGTATCTGCCGGAATGGGACCTTCAGGCTCCTACCCTTGGCCTTGCTTCCTTCTCCTCCAGGCTTCCACCTCTACTCATTTACCTCTAGCTTTCCTCCTCAGCTGGTCCTCCGCCAACCATTGGCTCTGGCCAATGGGCCTCCTTCCATCCACCCTGGGCCCTTTGGCTCAGTCCATTCACCAAAACACCGTTCTGCCAGCCAATTAGGTGGCAAATAGAAACCATGGTGCTTCAGCCTGTCAGTGTGCAAGATCTTGGGGGCTGTGGGGCTATGGGGGAGGTGTGGCAGCCAAACAGCACAGGCTCACAGCCTCAGATGCTTATTAGGGTAAGGAAAGAAGAGGAGGGAGGGAGATCAGGTCCTGGCTCCAGCCCCATGGAAGGCTGCAAGCATCTCCCATCATCCATCTCAGCTTCTCTCATCTTTCCCACCCCAATGTCACAGCCTGCCTGGATGTCTTCTCCCTCACCACCCTCTTTCAGCCTTTTGTGGGGATTTATTTTTATTTTTCTTTGGGAAGGAGGAAGGGAAGGAACCTCCTCGGAGGTAATTTAGTCCTCTGCTCAAGCAGGAGACCTTATATCATCTGGGTTATTTTGGTCCCTTCCAACTCGGTTTTTCCATGATTCCATAAGGGTTTCCTGCTTGAGCAGGGAGTTGGACTAGATGACCTCGGAAGTCCCTTCCAGCCCTGGGTTATTGTGCTATTTCAAAGCATCTTTTGAAGCCACATCTTGTGCCAAGATTTGTGGACTTTCCTTCCTCTCCTTTCTCTCTCTCTCTCTCCCTCTCTCCCTTCCTCCATCCATCCATCCATCCATCCATCTATCCATATCTCATTCACTTTCCCTTCTCTCACTCCCTCTTCCTTCCTTCCTTCCTTCCTTCCTTCCTTCCTTCCTTTTTTCTTTCTTTCTTTCCCTTCTTCCCTCACTCCCTCTTTCTTATCTATCCCTTTCTTCCTTTCTTTTTCTTCCTTTCTTTCTCTTTCTTTTTATTTATTTCCTTTTTCTTTCTTTCCTTATTTCTTTTGTTTCCTTCTTTTCGTCTTTCTTTTCTTTTTTGTCTCTCCCTTCTCTATCTTTCTTTCTCTCTCTCTGTCTTTCTCTCTTTCTCTCTCTTCCCTTCCTCCTTCTAGGATACCCACCCCAAACAAAAACTCCTTTGGATGAAGTCAGCCATTGCCACCTGGCTTACTGAACCAAACACCTCCCCGGCTTTTCCCTTTCAACCAAACCCAGTGGACCTCATGGCAGCAGCGGAGGAGGGGCCAGTGTGCACACGGCAGCCAGGAAGGAAGTCGCAGCAACAAATGCAACTGCACAACTTCTGCAAAGCTAAGATGTTTGGGGTGGACGTAAAAACTTGTTTAAGCCACCTTAAAGTGCTTTGGTGCATTTTTCCCCGTTTCCCTGCCACCTCCCTGCTATCAGCTGCCCATTCAGTGTCAGGGAGGCAGGATCAGATAAGGGGATCTTGGTAGCAGCTGGATCTGGATATGTAGGGTTTATTCAAAAAGAAAATAAAAGAGACTGAAAAAAGTTTTAAAAAAAGACCCACAAAAGGCTGCAAGTGGGGTGATGAGGGAGAAGACATCCAGGCAGGCTGTGACACTGGGGAGGGAAAAAACGAGAGATGAGAGAAGCTGATATGGAAGATGGGAGCTGCTTGCTGCCTTCCATGGGGCTGGGGCCAGGATGCAATCTCTCTCCCTTCCTCCCTCCCCTTCCTTCCTTACCCTAACAAGCGTCTGAGGCTGTGAGCCTCTGCCGTTAGGCTGCCGCATTTCCCCCATAGCCCCACAGCTCCCGAGATATTGCATGCTGGCAGGCAGAAGCACCAGGGCTTCTGTCTGCCACTCGATTGGCTGGCGGCAAACTGTCCCGTGTGGCCAAAGGCCTGGGACAAACGGTGTTTCAGTGAATGGACTGGGCCAAAGGGCACAGGGTGGACAGACAGAGGCTCATTGGCCAGGGCAAATGGCTGGGGGAGGGCCAGCTGAGGAGGAAAGCTGGAGATAAATGGGAGGAGGTGGAGGCCTGGAGGAGAAGGAGGCACGGCCAAGGGTAGGAATCTGAAGGTCCTAGACACATATCTGCTATTCTATCAGATTCTTACATACAATTTTAATCTAAAGTATAAACTGGTGGTAAAACATATAAAACAGCCTTTAATTCAAAGGAGCATGTTCTTGTTTACAAGTCCAACAAATCAGTGGGAGCAGTTTATAAAAAAAGACAGAATCAATTTAAAGCTTTAAGTTGTAATCGTAGAACACAGACCTGTTAGTTTACAATCCCTAAAAAATCAAAATAAAAACTTTATGTTTAAATGCATTTGTTCTCTTTTGTTTCTAAGTTTTTACAAGTTAAATATTAGGAAAAATTCTAAACATTTCAGTATAATTCAGTATCATATAAATA